TAATAGAAGAAGTAGGATGCACACTATAAAAAATTAAAAAGTTTTATCAGGATATGTATTAGGGAAAAGGAAAAAAGATGTCAGGAAGTATCCATATGTTACTGGACAGCATGAGAAAGAACACGAAGAATATTATTGCTAAAAATAAGATTTCAAACTTTAGGCTGACCCTAGAACTCTGGGTCTGAGCACAGATAATGGATTAACTCCACATGCACATACCAAGAAATACTGCAGTTATACAGGTTTCTCTTTTCTGCAATTATCAGTTTTGGGTCATTTGTGCAAGAGTTGGAAATTTCAGGTGTAAACCTCACTTCTAAACCATTTTATTTTTGATGACGACATCTGTCATCATCTTGATTTTCTAATGAATTAGCTTTTCCTTTAGAGAGACTCTGGAATTATACTTGTCCATGAGGAGCTCACTGCAAAAGTTACATAAAGTGGATCGGACAGTGGTTATATACAGGTATTTGTGAAGCAAAATTTAACACTGAATTTCTTTGAACTGAAGTGCTACTAGTACATTCCATCATCAAAATACATCAACAAACCCCACAAAAGATACTGCTTTCTTCATTTAACTATTAAAACCATCTTACAAAATGCTATGTCAGTTCTACAGAAATTCGCTGAAAAGAAAGATTAATATGGCCATCTAGAGGAGAAAAGAATGATGTGAAAACATAGCACACACATTTTCAGGCTTCAGAATAAAGCATTTCTAGAGGCATGCAGCCAGAAAATAGATGTAATAAACTAATTATCTAATTGATAATAACTGAACCTTAAAATAATACGATCAGACATTTTTATGGTCTTAGTAATGCAAACATATTAATATACATGTTTTTAGCAATGCAAGAAAAGCTTGCAGGATCTATTAATAAAGACAAGATGGTATTTTTGTCTCCTTAAATTTTATGTGGGCACTGTTAAGTGCAGACACTCTGAACAAAGAAATTTAAAGAGTGAAGACTGAAGTAGAGAGTAAACAGTTATTAGTCAAACTGCTTATTGGCTCCTTTGAAAACATAGCACATTGTTGCAAGATACAGTGTGTGATAGAGATTAACTGCTGAGGAGAAAATAACATAGATTTTTCTGGAAATGAAATCATATTACTCTAGCTTTGGTGGAATTTTTAATTATACCATCAGAGGCTGACTGACTAGCAATGAGCAGGGGGGAAACAGAGATAAAAATGAATTCTGCCCTCTCATCTTGACTGTGTTCACTGTAACACTATCAAGCCCTGCTCACCATAGGGACTGACTGGTGCCTTAAGTGGGAAGTACAGCTGCAATGTTTAAGTCTTGGAAGTAGAAATGCTAAAGTATATGAGGAAACAGAAGCACGCACACTAAGTCACATGTATTGTCAATTGTTTCTCCTATGAAATAAAGTACATAGGAACACACTGTTTGCTGCTCCTCCACTACAGAGAATCAAGAAATGGTTCTATCATTTGTCTTTACACTTCCATTAAAAATAATTCAACAGTCATAAAGCCAAGTACATAATGAAAGATTTCAGGATTCCTATGGCATCAAGTCTTCTACAGATTTAATCTGCAAGTTCAAAGAACAGTAAAGCTTTGAATTGTAAAGTTATACCTAGAAAACACCTATAGGGTTGACGTTCTCCCTTTGGAATCAGAGGTTTTTAACCTCAGTTGTTCAGTAAGCTCTTTCTCTGAACATACATGAACTGTTTGGTAGTGATAGCCAGTCTCTCGTTTAGTTCTGACTGCAGGTTTTCTTCATGTGTTTTCCACCTTCCCTTTTCGTCACAGTTCTAGTTTGAGCAGCTTTCCCTTTGTAATGGTCATAACATAATGAAGCATACTCCCATCTTTTCCTCTGTTCTAACACATTTTTATCATTGTGCAAAGATTCTTTCTTTCATGTTTGAAATAATTTAGGAACACAAAAAGTACTAACGCTAATTATTCTATTGTGCCACCTTCAGGTCACTGAAGAGCGACAAATAATAGGTTGTTCATCTGTTTCCGTGTCCAATACAACAAAACTCTTTTTAATTGTATTGGACATAATTTTGTTGAGATTAATGGATTACAAACAGGAGACTAAATCACCACTCTGATTTGCAAGCATTTTGCAGAACACTGTACAATGATTGTAGGCTATCAAATAAGTAACACTGCTGATTTTCCACTCCTTGTAAAACATGGGAAGAGAATGCTCTCACAAGCAGCAGGAAAAGCAAAATACTGACATTAGTAAAGCTTTTTGCAAGCAGAAGCATGTGGTTAAAAATTTACAAGTTTCTAAGTTAGAATGTTTTGATAGTTTTTGCTTTGCAAGGTTTCTTTTTTCCAAACCCTGAATGTTCTCTCATTATACTAAATTTAATTTGCATACTAATTTTAGAGTGAGTATGTGTGTGCATATACAAAAATGGGTTTCACATCCAGCCAGCTTCCTGAATGGAAAGAGCGTTGAGAAGGGATAGCAGCTGGCAACAGATATCTTTAGCAATAGAAGAAAAAACGAAAGAGGAGGAGAAGGGAAACAGTTGTAAATTTCCTGATGCAATACTTGGACTTGCCATCAGGGTCATTTTGTCTTAGATTATAACTATGACCTAGAATCATAGAACAGTTTGGGCTCGAAAGGACCTTAAGATCATCTAGTTCTAGACCTTAAGATCATCAATTACAATGAGGTATAACTGACTTAACACCTCACACTAGAGCATGTCACCCACTGCTCTGTCCAACCTGGCCTTGAACACTGCCAGGGATGGGGCAGCCACAGCTCCTCTGGGCACCCTGTGCCAGCGCCTCAGCACCCTCACAGAGAAGAGCTTCTGCCTTACATCTAACCTGAACTTCCCCTGGTTCAGTTTGAACCCATCTCCCATTTTCCCATCACTACAGCCCCTGATGAAGAGTCCCTCTGCAGCATCCTTGTAGCCCCCTTCAGACACTGGCAGCTGCTCTGAGGTCTCCACGCAGCTTCTCTTCTCCAGGCTGAACAGCCCCAATGTTCTCAGCCTGTCTCCATACAGGAGGTGCTCCAGCCCCTGATCATGCTCGTGGCCTCCTCTGGACTTGCTCTAGCAGCTCCGTGTCCTTCTTATGTAGACACCAGCCCTGCACACAGTGCTGCAAGTGGGGTCTTACAAGATTTGCAGACTGGAGTTCTCACAGCATCATAGAATCAACCAGGTTGGAAAAGACCTTTAAGATCATTAAGTCCAACCTTTACCCTAGGACTGCCAAGTTCACCACTAAAACATGTCACTAATTCCCCAGAAGAGGATAAAAGTCATCGACTATGAATTTTGGTAATCTGAGAGAATGATAAGGAAGAAAATTATTAAAACAAACCAAAAACCTGGATACAGGCTAGCACAATAGCTTTGGAGCTTACTTCTCACAGTAAAGAGCTCAGATGAACTGGGAACATTTCTCTGAGATGATGAACTAGGTAGGGGAAAAAAATAATCTGAGCAATTGTGGAATGGAAAGAGGAATATCACATGTTCCTTCCAACATAGATTATTCTGTGCTTATTTCAACAACCAGCCTCAATAGTCTGCAAAGAGACAAATACACTATTCTGGGTATCTGAAAGTATTCTTCTTGTATCATTTCAATCTGGTACTATTTGCTAATAAATACGACTGAGTCTTCCATTTCCCATTAATACACATCACCATTCTTTCCCAACAGTGACATAAGCCATACAAAAAGTAGTATCTTTCATATTACCCCAATAGGGCTGTTGATAGATCTCAGTAGATACAAAACCCAAACATGATACTTTGGCTATCCTTCTTCCTTCTTGTCCTTGTTCATCACAGATCCTTGTCCAAGGATCAGATCTTACCACCTGCTCTCACCTCTGCACCTCCTTCCCTATTTGCTGGAACTCAGACTCCCAGCCCTCCTAACAAGCTAAGGAAAGAATTAAGATTTCTGATGATCAGAAAATAATCCCCTTACTCTGCAACTTCAATTACGGCTTTCATATCTTTTGTGTCTTAACTTGCAATCATGAGTGAGCATGCACTGATTGCAAATGTCAGTGGCAAACAGACTTTTATATCATTTTACTACATGACATAGTAGAAACTTTGACATTTTCAAGCACTTCTAGACTGCATAGAACATTTAAGGACAGGTATCTTCTGATTACATGTATCATATTACATGAAAATATCAATTAGTAAAAAACCTTTGCATTTTAACATATTAAAAGGAGACCAACAAATATTTCACTGTAACACAGCATCTATACCAGAATCTGACTTTTATGTAACAAGAGCTCACTTTTCATCCTAGAAAATGGCCACAGACACAGTTCTCACACATTTTCAAGCACAGAAAGCATATTGACAAAATACTGACAGCAGAATTCTCAGCCTCTATATCAGATTGTCACCCTAACTTAAAATCTAGAAATATATACCACAAAGGAAACAGCCAGAGTTTACATCCACCTATTAACACCATGGAAAAAAAGATATTAATCTAATCTTTGTAATAATTTCTTCCTGTGATTGCAAAAGAAGAACAGATACAGAACATTTCAGTAATACACACTGCAAGGACCATGTGCACTGTAACCCATAACCAAATCCAGTTACTCTGCTGTGATGACAGCTTATTAATAGATGAACAACAGGTCTTCTTTGTATTTATAATACCACAAAATTCATCAAGAGTTGCCATATTTCCTTCCTAAATCAAAAACACTTTAAATTCCCCCAAAAAGAGAATTACTGATGATAAAATTGTATAAAACTTCATTAACAAGGTACTACATCACTTGCAGTATTCCTGGAAGAATGCACAAGTCTCTGCTATTTGTTTTTGTTTTGAGCATGCACAAATATAAAAGGTATCTGGATATTTCTTACAGACATTGACTATTTACAAGTCAAGCTGTACTTGTCTCTAGGACTTACTTATCCAGAACATAATTCTGAAATTTGGAATAAAAGGAATGCTTTTAAATCACTCTTACCTTCATCTATTGAGGCTTCACTACTGTATCCATCATATTCTGCAGACAGGGGACTATACTTTTGTCTGGTTTCCCATACATAGTTTTTTTGCTGTCTGCCATCCACCACTGGCAGCCTGGAACTCTGGGTTCTAGACAAGGCCTCATGATATTTACCCAGTGCTTCATCTTCACTCTCAGATGATGAACCATGCTGGTCTTTACTCATATAAGAGTTGTCTGTTTGAATAAAATAAAGCAAATCGACTACAGCTCAAAACAGAATACAAGAAAATAACCATAAAAGGTTATAACTGAAGATATTTAAGCTATTTCAATTAAAATTTCTGTAATATTTTAGAAAGATCATCTTGTTGTAATTACAAGTATTATGTGATTCTGTAGTTGGTGAGAGCTATTTTTGTTTTCTAGAAAACCTGGAAATTCATTAAGCCCCCCAAAAACATTCTAAAACTTATTCAAGAGAAAATGGATCAATTTATGTAAGGCAGCACACACTCAAATTCTTGAAACCTTTCATTAAGTAAGAAAATGCTTAAAATACTTTTATGTAAAGGAAATCCAACACTATCCAACATTACATTTGGATACCTAACATATCAAAAAGGCAGCTCCTGATCCTCCATTCCCAGCTGATTTTTGCTGCCAGCATGCAACATAGAAATGAAACTGATTGACAAAGAGAAGCCTACAACAATGTCATCTTAGGATATTTATGTCAGTAGTGCTTAAACTCACAGTAACAAATGGGAATATGCTCATAAAAGATGTTTTCATGCACAACATTATTTAACTTACAATAAACAGCCACTTGTTCAATAACTGACATTAATGCAGATTCTCATTGCTGACATGTGGCAACAGCAAAAATTGCACAGAAGAATCAATCTAGTTAATTCTTTGATACCTGCTCCGTAATGCCCACTCCTGCTGCCAACTTTTTCCGACTACATCTCAAGTATGACTTCCTCCCACAAGTCAAAGATTCAGCTGCAGTTTTATTTCTGTAAAAGAAAAGTTTCCTCCTCCCTTTTCCAAACCTCAAATAGATTCTGTCCAAATTTAACATGCCATGCAGAGGTTCTGTAGATCTCAAACTCTAACAGGAATTACAAAGAGTTCATGTAAACTCACTAAAGGTCAGCATTGCCACTACTCTGGGAGCCAACCTATGGTATACAATTTGCCAATGGATTTCCACTACCAGCAGAGCCCTGAGAGGCCCATAATGCTGTTTTTCAGCTCCTGATTCTGCAAGGGAGTATTGCCTAACATGTTATCCAGCCATGCTCAATCACTTCTCCCCTCTCTGCATTTATGTCACCTGCCTAGTCCCTGTCCTTAGCTCTAGTTCTGCATTTCCGCTCCCATTAGTCTCCTCCTTCATGCCCAGCCAGTCTCACTCCCCTGCTTGGATATTTCAAGTAAAGGAGGAATTCAGCTTGTTCATAATACAGCCATTTAAAAGTTAAGTAACTCAACCTACGGCAGCCATCTAGCCAAGGGTTTGCCTCTTCCTGCTACAGAGGTCCTTCCCACTTTTAGGGAAGCCTCTAGAGTAGATGAGTAAAATCACTTCCCACTGAGGTCTACTTCTCCCCTGTATTCACAAAGAAAAGCCTATGCTGCAAGTTTAGGTAAAACATGTTTTGCAAAATTATACTTATATGAGTAGAATCTTATCCTAAGTTCACGCCTCCTGGCCCCATACTCCAAGTTCCTGCTCCAAGCACCCACTTTAGGTCTCTTACAGGGACTTCCTCTTTATTCTCCTTGTCTATTCAATCACAAATCCTGTTTACTTGCACCTAACCAACTACTTGTGTAACCTTAGTCTTTCACCCTTAGTCTCTCCACCTTCAGATAATGTTACCAGTTCTCTTCATAGCTGTCACCCAGCCTACTTCAAATTCCCAGTCTACCACTTGCATCGTGTCACATTTGTTCAGGAAGTTTGTGTCCTCACATAAGTCATGTTTATTCTTAACTCTTCTGTTCAAACTTCCAGTGTCCTTCAGTAACTATGTATCATAAAGCAGGATAAGACCTACTCTGTTCTTCCACTCCTACAATGAAGCATATGAGTGCAAATGGAACAGTCAGTGAATATAATAAGCAAATTATAACAAGTGTTTACTCTGCTTTTCAAACAGCAAAGTTTCCAAAGATTTACAACTTGGTCAAACTCATGTTTTTTTCTTAGAAGAACATGGGCATCTCTGACATGGGAGAAGTGCTCTCCCACATTTCAAGTACATATTCCAACACACAAAGGTGTCACAGCATCTTAGTGAAGCAGACGTGAAATCTACTTATTTTTTACCCTGATAACCAGCATGCTTATCCCATATTCTATTCCTGGAAACAGTTAAAGATTTACAAACAAAAAAGCCCAGAAAACCCCACCAAGAAAAGGATCTCAGACAGAAAACATGCCAAATTTCATCCCAACTATTTCAAATTTGGCAAATAGCTTTAGGAAGCTGAAAATACAGTCTTGAAATGGAAAGCGTCAGGAAACCTCAACTGCAGATGGTGCTACCAGTTCTACATGCAATGTGTATGTAATCCTAATTTAGTCTTTATAGGAAAACTGGTGACTTAAAAGAGCAACTAGATCTTTCAACTCTAGGCTATCAACTTGAATTTAAGCGTAACAGATATGGTTCTTCCCATTGCATGGATGACTACAAAGCAAGTGCAATTCCACTGATCACTTATTGAAAATATCACACCAAGTAGGATTTATTCTCTGGCTACCAGATTCACTGCAAGAAACTGCCCAGAAAAAGAAGCCTCCTTTGCTGCTAGAAGAGTGAAATCCTGTATCTCATATGGCCTTCAACAGGTTGAAACCTGCTACCTAGGAAACTTCTACAGATTTCCACAACTACAATTACAGCAGGGCATAGCAGGAATAAAATCCAGTGCCAGACATAAAATCTAGTGCCATCAGTATTAGATGCATTATTTATCATGACAAAAAAATGTATTCACGAGTATGAAATTAGGTTCATGAATAAGTCTGCATAAAGAATGGAATAGTATAAAACAGGGTAGCAACATGTTTGAAAGAAGTGCTAAAAGTTCTGTCTCTAATAATGCACTGACATTTGTAAGCATTCAGAAGATCTCAGTGATACCAGGTATTTTTTCTCCAGTTCCTAGCATAAAAAAAAGAAGAAGGATGTGTACTATCATTCCAAGTTCTGAAACAAGACCTTAAGTTTAACCTCACTGAAGTTAAAACACAAGCTATCCATGAAAGCATTTTTTAAATGAACAATATAAATGTTTCTTAGGGAAAAACAGCTCCCTACAGACTAAAAAAAACCTCAGGGTTTTACACCTCTCCTCTTTTGATTTTGTCATTTTAGTTGGAAACTTGCCTAAGAGAACTCATGTTGTTAGTAAAAATTTGCCTTTACTTGGCTAACACAGGTTGTATGTAATTATTAACCTATTGAAAGCTACTCATTTGCTTATTATGGGATGAAAAATGCCATTTTTGATACGAGAATATGGAATCATAGAATATCGTGGATCAGAAGGGACCTTCAAGGTCATTTAGTCCAACCCCCAGTTTCTGAAACACACAAGGAAAAAATGTACTTCACAAATACTGTATTACATGAAGAAATAGCAGATAAGATCACAGTTTATCGTACAAACATGGAAACCACCTCTTAAACCAAATTAAAACCCCCTTTGTATTACAAAACCATTCATTTCTCTACAGAAACAGCATTTCGGAAAAGCCTGTGTTGCTTTCTAAAAATTCACTACACAGCCTGCACAACAACTGTGTAAGAACGTAAGGTTTTTACTTGTTACTTACAAACTACTATTGCTATTCCATTGTCATACTGTTTAAGATTGGATGTTGAAGACAGCACACACAGCATCCATATCAACAATACACAGGTTTTCTTTGTAAGACTGCAACTTTAAGACAAGCCTCATTCAGTTCTTTCTATGCTTAAAATCACTTAATTGCCTCTTCTTATTAAGTTTGGTATCTTGAAATTTTTATCTTGCATATCCCAGAAATAAGTTCTGCAGATCTACCAAGATGTAAATGCAACAGAAGTTATTTCTTATGCAATGCTTTCAAAATACACAAAATAAAAACCACTTTGTCAGAACAAGTGTTCACTTCCAGTATTAATCCATAGTTTTCAACAGAAACCACACAAGGCACTGCAGAGAACGGAAGAAAAACTGTATATAGAAAAAGAAAAGTTAGAACATAGGAAAGGCATTTATTAACCAGCTCCTTTAAATAACACTTTAAAAAGTAGTTAACTTCCAAGAAATATCAACATAATTAGAGAAAGAAGCACTGGCAAAACAGACCTACATTCATCCACAGGAAACACTATTATTAGATGTGTAAATTAGGGGAAGAAAGTAGTAAGTATCAGAAGTTTCAGGAAAGGTTGAAGAATGCAGTTTGCTGATGGACTCCTCACCTTTTCCTGCTGTCTTCTTATTACACATCTCTCTTTCTGATTTCTTTGAGTTTTTCTTTTTACCCTCTTTTGCAATTGGGGTTGACACATTGTCTTCACCCTTTGATAGAGATTTTCCTTTTCTGTCCAAAAAGGCTTCAGACTGCTTTTCTTTGATTTCATTAATGCAATTGGGCTGCTCATTGTGCATCTTCTTCAAGCTGGAGTCTGATAATTTTTGCTTCTGTACTTCACGTTTCGTTTCTGAATCTTGGGGCACATTCACACTGTGCACTTTGTCAGAATCTTTAGCATCAGCTCCAGGGGACCGTGGTTTGATTTTTCTATTCGAGTGGGTCTGAGAATTATCTGATACTGCATGTAGGGAATTACCTTGCTCCTCAATGGATTGTTCCATAGTACATTTATTACTTTTCAGGTTATTATTCTTTAAGTACTTATCATTTACAAAACACTCCTTTCCTCCTACCGCTTCCCTTTTAAAAGGTCCTCCTACAGTCTTCAAATCCTGAGATACTTCTGTATCACTTAAATGATTATTACTATCTGTGCCTTTTAACTTGCACTGGTTTTTGTCCATGCCATGGTCAGATACTCCATCCTGACCCATATCTTTTTTTACAAAATCTAATGAATTAGAGCAATGAGTCTCTTTATGTTCTGCAATACCTCTCTTCGCTTTCACATGAATTTCCTGAGAATGAGTTAATGATGGTGTATGTTCCTCTTTGCCTTCCACAGGTTTATCATTCTGTGTTTTGGAGCTTTCACCTTCTGCACGAAGGCCATTTATCATGTTTGTTACTTGCTCTGTTACTGAATCAGCTACACTGTAGCTGACCTCTCCCACAGCACTGGTCAGATCATCCACAGCATTGCTAAGTGTGTCAACCAGAGAAGACACAGAGGGAAGGCTCAGATTTTGCTGGAGGTTTCTGAAAAACGCCATTTGTCCAACCTGTTCAGCAGCAACTTTTGACACCGAGATGTTCTCCGTTTCACGAACAGATCAACTCTATTTCTCCATGTTCAATTTCAGAGCTACTTGCTCTTCCTAACTCAAACTCCCCGCACTCACCAGAGGAAGTTGCAGCTTTGCCTTTTCCACTCAACATGCATTGAAAATAATAAGAAAGCAGCTAAGTGTCTTGAAATGAATCAGCAAAACCATAGTCGTTCATCAACTGCAGCATCAACTAGCCATTACAGAACTCATTACTTTCAAAAATAAGACAACTGTGTGAGGTGGAAATATGGGGGTTTAATTCTAACCTGCAAAGAAGAAGTTGTGAGACATTTATATTACATCCTTTCATCACTAAAACAAGCTTTTAACATAATAGCTGCCCTAAAACACACATTATGGAAACTTCTTCACCCCCAAATATCCATTGTCTTTGGTAAGGATACATAAGGTAAGGCATTTCGGAACATGAAGACTTCATTTTTTGGGGGGGAACTTTGTCTCCAAAAAAATTGAAAATATTTAACTGCACCTTTTAGAGAGGTAGAGGGGAAGGAAACCTCTCAAATTTTCCAGGTGAGTAAATGCAAGACCTTCTCCAATAGTATTTTAACAGGTTGAGCAAAAAACAAATAATCCCATTCACAAATTTACTTGAGAAGATTTGATTGTACACAATTATGGAATGTTTAAAATACATTCAAGAGTCTTCTCATACTGCAAGAGAAGTATCTTCCAAGAAGTAAATGTCAACTCTTTGGTTATATAGCTGTTGAATTACTGTGGTTTCTGCCTTTCCCACATACTGCACAGTCACGGGAAAAGTCAACATTCTGTATTTTCATCACTTGAGTCAAGTGATTATTTGTGTATTTCTACACATCCTTGTAAAAATATGTGTTCTTATAATTAAGTTTAGTACGCTGCATTTCAGATACTTACAAAGTTTATCTTGCGAATTCTTTCTTGTTGTGTATCCTGAATCAAGATCTGGAAAACCACTAACATTTTCAAAACACATCTTCTTATTAATGTATAGGAAAAGTAGCAACATGAGAATAATGAACACTCCAACAGCAGACAGGAACCCAATTGCTTCAGGAGATACTAAAAGAAACAGAAAGAAACACATTTTCATAAGTCTTGTAAAAGTTTAACTCATAAAAGTTATATCATTAATAAATACTACTTGTTTGTAGTAGAATTGATCTTTAACAAATACTACTGAAGTTCCAAATGTATGTGCAAGATATAACTAAAACAAAACCCCACACCTTAAATTTGAGTTAATGTTTAATCCTCTTTTCAAAGAATAGAAATATATCTGGTCCTAACCTAAGGGAGGACCAACACTGTAAGCCAGAATACTGGATCTGTAACAAGGCAGGTTCTCTGCAGAAGACGGAGAGATTATCATCAGATGCCAAGGCTGGTTTTTGATGGAGCACGCTGAAAAGAAGCCAAGAGCATCCATCCTTCCTGGAAGGGGCTGGAGGTTTGGCTACCTCAGGCAACCCACTGGACTCTCGGCTGTGTCTACATCCGAAAGACTTGAAGTGAGAAGTTGAAAGGTGGGAGCTGTAAATTTGTGTGCGAGGTTAAAGTGAAGTGTTACAGATCTATACTTCAATAATATTTGGGTGCAATTTATAAGAAAAAGGGATAGAACTCAATATATGGATGCAATTAACAACGGTGTAAGGCATTATAGAACTGTAAGTGATTCATAGTGGTATATTTCTTAGGTAATCAATCTGTTATTTGGTTTATTAATAGTGTGATGATCAATTAATAAACAGTATAGCCTCTTACATGTCTCAAACCTGCATTCTAAAGACGGAGAGAAAGACCTTGAGGTAACAGACACCTTAATATTAAAGAGTATTTTTGGGGGCCTCAACACACAGACATGCATCTTTCAGGATTGAAAGTGGCTGTATTCATCTGGATGAAAGCCAGGCTTTCACACATCACTTCTTCCTGCCATTTTTGCTCGTCTCTACTCACTAGCATAAATCCCATTGTGGGGGTTGTTTTTTTTCTATTTATAAAAGATTTATGAAGATTTATCAGATTTATGAATTCCATTTGCCAAGATCTTGGCACTTCACTTCAGGAGTATAATGCTGTGTGACAACATCTTTCACAATGTAAAAAGGAGTGGGATTAAAGAACATTTGGCAACAGCTTCTGCATTCTCAGAGGTGCAATACAAATACAAAAGGACGAGAGGCACCAGTCCAAAGTAGCAACAAGGAAAATTCCAGACTAGGAGGAGTTTATCACTGAAACAGATTGCCTAGATCAATTATAGAATCCAACTTTAATGTTAGCCCTGCTTTGAGCAGAGGGCTGAACTGTGAATTACTTTCCCATGAGCCTTCCAAATTAAATTAGTCTACATATGCCCTTTGTAAATCTGGACTCATACATCTGTGTAAAAGTGCTGACTGAGAAACACACGCAGTTCCACAACCTCCTCAGTTTGTTCTGTGGGATGACAGGGAACATTTGCATTTGTGGTGCTGTTCATAAATAGGTATACAGGTGTGCTGTAAAAACTGGGAAAGAAAGATCGAAAGAAATGCACCTTTCCCAAACCTTTCAAGGAATTAGTCAGATCTGCACTTCTCTATTGAGCTGGACATCCAGACCTGTCTGAAACTGAAGATTAATTTTGCTTCACTTTTTACCTCTGAGCAGAAGAGATCACCTAACATTGTGCCTGAACCCTGAACATTCTGACACAAAAAGGAGCCTGCTAATAACTCTGAACTACCCATTCTGACAAAATGACTGAAGAAATGCCAGAATAGCAACCAAAGATGTCCCAAAAGGATAAAACTGAATCTCTACTTAGTCAATATCAAGCTTGAGTAAAAGCTTTCCTTATTTTGTTAGATCATATTAGAAAACTAGGAATAGCATGAGCAATTCTCAACTGGGTTAAGTTGGGAACACTGTCTTCTGAAGAACTGAAGGCAAAGCCAGAAATAATTGAAAACCTTCAAAATCTGAACTTTACCTTCCAACCCACTAAAGTCCAAGAAAGAACATGAAATATAACACAGTATAACTGCTTATTAGGGCCAGAATAAACAAACAGTACAGCAGGCAGGAGCAGGCCGCTGGTATTTTCGATCTCAGACAGTACAAAAGAAATACAAAACTCCATAGAGTTAGAGTTCCTCACCAGTCCTTCAGGATGAGATGTCCTGCTGCATCAAGCAGAGCAACAAGGGGAGAAAAGAGTAATTCTATTCTGCACCAGAGTAGAAAGGAAGCTAAACGTTTTCCATTATCATGAACAAATAGGAGGGAAAAAAATCCCTTTGTTCACAAAAGACATTGGATGCACATCCTACTAAGATTACCTGATACTCCTTCCAGAAATCTGCTTGGAGTTGCTCATCATTTCATGTAAATCACTCGTTACAGCTGAACTTTATGGCAACTTTGCCTCACACTGAAGGGGTTTTGTTTGGTTTTAAGTTCCAATAAAAAATAAATAGTTAAGCTCTGACCAAGCATGAGCTGAAGGAAAAAAACTTACTGCTCTAGTGGTGACTAATGTAGTTCTTTAAAGGCACTAGCGTTCCCTGATGAAGAGTGAGGAACATCTGGCATATGTCAGGTGTTCACTTAGCATTTGTCAGTTGTCCATTTACCATTTTCATGGGATCTTCCTAAACACAGGAAAGCTCTGAGAGGTGGGCTGATGCCAACTCACGAAGTTTAACCAAGCCAAGTGCAAGG